ACACACACACACACACACACACACACACAGCTTCCTGCAGACTGCAAGGTGGGAGCACGGCCCCTGAACAGGCCACCTCCCGTTTTTGCCAATTCTTGAACCGGTAGACCGTCAAAAGCAGAGTTTACTGTTTTTCTTGCACTTTCTAACTGGTCTTGGCCCAATCTTACAGTGACCTGTTATTTCTGGGAATTCTGAACTGTGCAGCGGTCACAGGCACAGTTTTTTCAAAAAAAAAAGAAAAAAAACTTGCGTCCTTTCCCCCCAAGACAAGCACATCAGGGACTGTTTGCCTGTGGGCAACAGGGCATGCTGTCTGGGGCAAGGTCCCACTTTGCTGGCTTGGGTAGCACACCGCCATTGTACCCGTAGCTGACTCGGAGTGATGACAGAGGAAAAGAGTACTGAAGGGAGAATGGTGCGGGGATGAAGCCAGAGGATACCCCGTGATGAGCCTATGGCAGCAGGTGGAAATGCACCAGGGGTCAAGTACCATGAATCTGAAGTTTGGTGTACAGAGACTTCTGAATCTGAAGAAAACCAAAAGGAGTGAAGGGGAAAAATAAACAATCGGACAGAGACTTCTGAATCTGAAGAAAACCAAAAGGAGTGAAGGGGAAAAATAAACAATGGGACAGAGATGTGATTGCTGTCAGGTTATCAAGTTATGAATACTTGTGGTCTGCTTGCTGGCGGTCCTCCTTGCCCAGATTCTTCGTGTCTCCTGGCTCCACCCCACTTACCCAGAATCCTGTTTCTGTTGGCTTCCTGTTATTAATTGATGGTCAGAAAGGGAGAATCTGGGTACGCATGATCTTGCCTTCATTTTGTCCGCTATCCATGGGTGGTGAGTGCATCAAATTCTTCGCGACGTATTCACACTCGAACTTTCGCGGTTGCATCTGATCGCAATTACGTCCTGTCTTGAATGGTTCTGACCTAAATTACGTCATCCCGAAAAGTCCAGTGTCGGTATGCCCCCAGACTCCTTGACTGAATTTGGTTGTCACTATGGTCACACACAGCCAGGGAGACCTAGTGGTGTGAGTATGCCCTAGCTGGCACCATTTAGAGGCGGTGCTTTACGGCTTAGGAAGTATTTATAGTTCACTATCCCCTTGTGCTCCGACCTCCAGAATCGTTCCCGGCCATTCTGTTTTTTTTTTTTTTTTTTTTTTTTTTTTTTTGGACCATTTCTCGATTTATGCGTGTCATCCTTGAAAGCGCAGGGGCCATGCTAATCTTATTTCTCTGTATCGTTCCAATTTTAACGGATGTCCCGAAGGACTGGCCATTCTGTTTGGAAGCGACCCATAGAATGTAGCCATCAATCATGGCAAAAGGCAATAGAAAAGGAAAAGACGACTCTACAACATTGCAAAAAGGACGAAAATGGCCCCTTTCTCTTTCTCTCTGAAAGGACAAAATTAGCCCTCAGCTGTCAGAAAGCACCTGGGATTCTGCACATTCACTGTCAGATGGTGTACTTACCCATGCACAGATGCAGGGCCTTGCCTCATCACTCACCAAATGTCAAGAGGACACAAACTATGGTGGTGTATCCACTCCATGTTCTCGCAATTCGTGCATTTGGTGAGTGGTTTTGTGAGGCCCGCAGTTACGTTCTTGCAAGGATGAGGGGGGTTGAATTCCTGCTGACCACTGGTCAAGCGCAGAGCTGGGCAGAGGAGAGAAGGACAGGAGGGAGGGGGATGGAGGAACATTCGGTGCTGCTTCAGGATAGTTCTATTATCTTTAAGTTAGTGCATCTGGAGCAAGGTCTCATTTGCATGCATTAACAGATACATGATGTCTATAATTTTTGTTATCTACGGAGAATGTCTCCATACCATTGGGGCACTGTTCCCTGGGTCTTCTGTGCCAGAGGAGGGCCCCTCTGCCAGTTGATCTTCAGTATCTATGGAGATTGGCTGTTAAAGCGCCAGTGGGCTCCCAGCCTCTTTTTCCCGACACGGATTTCTCCCCGCCCCTTAGAAATCTGAACCGCTCGGAACTTGGGTGTTAAAACTGAATCTGAACGTGTTTGTGGAAAAGTGTAGAAAATTGTGGTCGATCTGCTTTTCTGCATCTGAGTCTCCATGTAAAACCCATCCAGTTTCAGGGACTTCGTCCAATCCGCTTCCCTACTGTGTGATAAGCCAAGTTCCATACCTTGCGTCTTCACGTATCCTTCGGATTGAAAAGTAAGCTTGAAGTACGGATCTTGACAAACATGATGGATGGGGTCCGTTTTAAAATTTTGCTCTTTAATTCCATGCATCTTTCGGGAATGCCATTGTCCTTTTTTTTATTTAGTCGCCGCAACCGATTAGCATCCGCGTGGGAATCTTCAAAGAACCGGTTATATTTTTGGTTGCCATAGTTCTAATTTCTGGTCTCAAGCATGTGCACATGCAGCCATTTTTTTTTTTTTTTAGTAGAACACAATTCATATTCATATATCCGGGAAACGGGCCCGGTGTCCTTTACATCATTTGCTGCGGTCAAACGGGCTAAGTAAGGCACTCCCGGCCAAACCTATCCCCACCACAGCCTCACAAGGTTACGAAAAACAATGATCCCAATCCCAACCCTAAAACAAAATTCGCGTTCACTAATTTAACAAAAGTAAAATCCTAATCTACCCCCTCTCCAAACCCCCATTATCAAACAACCCTAATCAACACCAACCAAGGTTACGAAACCTATGATCCCAATCCCAACCCTAAAACAAAATTCATGTTCCCTAATTTAACAAGACTCAAATCCTAATCTACCCCTTTCTCCAAATCACCATTATGAAACAACCCTAATCTAGCGAAATCCAAGCCAGATAACAGACCACCAACCAACACATAAATAAAATATTCAATGGTTTCATCCTACTTACCCACTACCAACTAAGAACACGAAAAATCAATAGTGTCTTACCCACGGATAGTCAATGATGTCATGGAATTACCCAACCCATGGGCAAAACGGACAGGGAACGTAATCCAATGAAGTAACACTTCTAAAATCATCCTGAAAACACTAACAAAATGGACACCTAATTAGA